TAACACACGGAGACGTAACAATATGTTATAATAAATGTATAACATGCACATATAATATTATATTATATGTTATCTATCACGATTTATAATAGTATATATGCCTGGGATTTTCTTAAGAAATTATTCGACATGAAACATAAACTAGATGGTCCATATGAATATCTTGTATTATCAATTGAAACGTGTTAACCAAGAAAAGTTTCTACTAGGATTGTCTGGTCTGGTTCAGGAATTGAATAAAATATTTAACAGCAATTCTAAACTAAATTTTTATAAGAATAACTCAATGAACTTTCTAAGTTAAAATTAAATTAAACTGAACATATAAACAGTAAATATTAAATGTAACAATATTATAAACAAATACAAAGAACACTTTATATATATATATCATATAGTATTATGTCACGGACAGCAGGCAAGCCATCGCTGCAGATCGAATCAGGTAGTTATGTTAGGTAGCGAGCCTATATATATATATACAAACTATATGATTGTGCAATTATAACAAACATATTTATATACAATATATAAATGATTATAATTTATATTTTTTATTAAAAATATAACGAATAGATCTTGGCATAGATGAAAAATGGAACGACGCAACCTGCAATCACTGTGAATTTACAAAGTTAGCATCGGTCCACTAGTCGCTCCTAGAAACATAGCGGCCCTAAACACAGTTCTGGGACACATCACTGATCTTTATATGAACAATGGACAAGATGCATCAAATTCTTGCAGACTCCAAGTTATGCTTTCTTTTATCACACTGATCTCTCCCCCGGTGACTCAGCGGTAAACTAGAGGGCTTATAACGCTCAAATTCGGGGTTGAACTTAAACAAACAAACAAATAAACATACTTACCACATTACTAATACTTTTCTAGCTTATTCGAAAAACAAAACAAAAACGTTTCTCTCTTTGATTCAACTTAACCTTAATTTTCCTAGTTACCATTGTAAATTACTGATTCTATTTAGTAATCAAGCATTTTACATTTTAGCCTCTATACTTGTCCCTGTTTTTCAAGATTTACTTTGATTTTAACTAAGGTACGTCTTACTTGGTCTTGGTTAGGGAGCTTGACTCGTAATCTGCGGGTCGCGGGTTCGAATCCCAGTTCCACCAAACATGCTCGCCCTTTCAGCGTTGGAGTGTTATAATGTGACGATCATTCCCACTATTGTTAGTAAAAGAGTAGCCCAAGAGTTGGCGGTGGGTGGTTATGACTAGCTGCATTCCTTCTAGTCTTTCACTGCTAAATTAGGGACAGCTAACGCAGATAGCCCTCGTGTAGCTTTGAGCAAAATTCATAACAAACCAAACCTTACTTGGTCTTTTATGGAGTACAATGTCAGTGGACCAGATACACAACATACAAAAAAGAAAAAGAGCAAAGGAGATATTAATTCCAGCAATATTGATAAAAAACGTAAACAGACTGACAAATTTCACACCAAAACTCTCTATGAAATCTAAGCACTTTCCACAGAAAAGGACCTATTTTCAGTAGTCCTTTTGTCGAATGAGCTCGGGTTTTAATGGGGGTTTCATGTTCTTTCTTTTATTTATTGTGGGCTTATACTAACTCTAAATAATTAGTCCCAAAAGTTTACCTTGCTACTTATCGTAAATTTTGTTTTAATTAAATATTTTTACTTTTTAATCTACATGATTAAAGGACAACAATTTATGTTTAGGATAAATAAATAAATTTAAGTATTTCCCTTACCTAAATATAAAATAAGAAAATCAAACTGGATATAGTAATATGGCATCTCTTATGGTTACTTGTTGGCATTTTGTTTGATGAAAGTTAGGCTTAACGATACATATTGTTGTCCTTATTTTATTTTTTATTTCCCAAACATTTCAGTAATTTGCATAGATCTAGATAACTTATTACCTTGGTTTTGGTCTTAAAACATACACCAATCATGTCGCCAAAAAATATACCAGACAGGTAAAAATATGTTTTACTTATTGTTTATAATTATAATTTAGCTGGCGTGAATCTGAAACATGAAAATCTTGCACATCTCGCTTATTACAGATCAGTAAGTCTATGAAGTATAAGTACAATTTTATAAGAATGATATTATTTTCACAATTTAGTGTGTCGGAAGAATAGCGCTCGATTGTTGTTCACACGTACCTTTTGTCACACAGTTACAATAACCTACAATGAAAAAATAAATGACAAAACGATTTTAAAATGTATCAATAGATTGTGAAAGGTTGTGGCTTAAATTTAAACTGTTAAAGTTAAACGCAAGTCACGACAGGGTTTGCCATATTGTAATTTATAGTAAACTTTTAAAGCTATCGAAGCGTGATGGTAATAATTCGTATATCAGCAATTTGAGAAAACTGAATAAACTGCTTGAAGTTGATCTTTGTTGCTTATAAGTTATACTGTTAATGATAAATTTGAAGGTATTTGTCTAACAAAATTATGGTATTATTTTTTAGAGACCATATGATCTTATTTTATTTATGTTTTCAGTAACTTCATGGTAGCAAGACTGATCATAGTAATATATGTTGTTCTAGGAATAGGATTGTTATTTAAGTGGGAGAAGGATAATAACTGGTTACACTGATGAAGATGATGGTGTAATATTCTGTAAGGTATATTGAGAAGAGAATGTGAATCTAGAAACTGTTAGTTGACTTATCAGCAATGAAGAAAATGTGAATCAGAAGATGCTATTAGTGGTTTATTAGCATGAACAGCATGTAATTATTATGCACACATTTTTCATACCAAATTGAAAATCTGTTGCCACAGTAATGAATACACTCTTCATTAGTAGACCAGTATAGTTTTCAATATGCCATCTCATGATTGGCCAATCATAGCTAGGTATATAGCCGGATTTGATGGGGAAGCATTTAACATAACTCAAATCAGGCCATAGCACAAAATTTATGGAAGTTCCATAATTTTTGAGTTTTTAAATTGAAACATGTCCTTTAAAACATAAACCAAAATATATATATATATATTATATCAGAAAAGGCTAAAAATTCTTGAAAATCATCAAAATTTTTCCTCACCATGAGACCAATACAGTTACTAGATATAATCTTTGGATTCTACAGCCATTTTTTTTCCATCGTGCAATTTATGTTTTTAGTAACTGCTTACGTAATGTAAATGTTAAATTTTTACACACAAAATGACTGGCAAATATACTAATCCAATTATCACAAGACCATACCAGGTGAAACTAGACTCCCAAGTTTTGTGCATGAAACTCCTATTCTGCATAAAGCACTTCTAATGCATTATAGCAATCGTTCATAGGGCAGTAACATTTCTTTCCATGGGTGTATTTCCTCTTTCATTCATGCTTTCTATTTAGAATGTTTCCCAGGTGTTCAGTGCACAGCATGCTAACATTTTTATCTGTCAATTTCATAAGCCACGGAGTTCTGAACCTCCTAGCCTTTAAACAAGGCACATCACAACTGTGAACAACCAAACTAAAATCAATAATTATGCCTCTTATGTAATCATTGCCATAACCCAAGCCATCAAGGAAACAATCTCTAGCAAAATAACAAATCCTAACCCATGATCCTGGAAATTTACTTCCGAAATTCATGAATTAATAATGATCCTCAGACGACTCAGACACTCATTAATGCCATGAATATAATTTTATTAAGAAACTTATATTACAACTACAACATAATAACTGGAAAACTTCTGCTTATCAGTAGATAAATCCAAACTCAACCCTTACAAATTCTGGCACAATATTAAATCCATCACGAACAATAAATCAAACAACACCATAAATAAAATTCAATATAATAACAACACTTCCACTACCAATAACAAACAGTTTGAACTTTTTACCCAATATTTCGAAAGTACCTTTGTAAACCAAAATCTCACCTTGTTTGACACACAACATTTCAACAATGTAAATCAACACATTTCTAAGAATTAACACTTTTTTTTTTCTCTCCAGACTTCCTGATGTCTATATCACAGATTTGTGGTTCTAACGATTTGTATACTTGCCATATAACTTTAGCAGAAATCAAAATTAACCTCAGGAAAATAAAACACAAAGCCCCATGAGAGGATGGAATTAACAATTGAATCCTGAAAAACCTATCCAACAAAATCATAACCCACTTAGTAACAATTTATAATTTATCGTTACTATCAGGATATTACCCGCCTATTTGGAAATCAGCTATAATTAAGGTAATCCCCAAGAAAAATAACTAATCTCAGCAGCTACAAGCCTAGTAACTTGCTAAACACCATTGATAAGTTGATGGAGAAATTAATCATGAACCGAATATATGATTACTTAAAAAATCAACAATATTAATAATAACATACAGAATTTGGGCAGAAAACGTAGACAAACCACTGACCACCTTATTAGACTTACCAAAACCACAGTTTCAACAGAAAGCATACAACCATAGCTACTAATCTAGATGTCCAAAAAGCCTTTGATTCAGTATGCTATAATGGACTTTGCTATAAACTAATCGATAATCCAATACCCACCACCATTGTACACTGGATATCCAGCTTCCTCACTGACAGAACAACTGCAGTTAAGATCAACAGTGCAACCTCCAGGCTTTTCATGTTTAAAGCCATGTTCCCTAAAGCTCCGTATTAAGCCCAACATTATACAGCCTCTTTGTCAATGATATCCAATCACTTTCCTTAAACCATACACTTGTGTTTCGATCTGCGACATTTAGGGTCCAAATATCACTCAATTCAGTGTTAGATTGGTGCAAGAAGTGGTGTGTAGCCCTCAACCCATACAAATCCCAAGATATATAGCCTTTTTTTCAGGAAAATAAATAAAAGTTGGAAGATGCTTTGTAATCTTTAGTTAACACTTAACAATTCAGGCACTAATCACGTAGAATACTCAGCACTTGTTCAGTGAAAGTTAGTTTTCTCGGGGTACTCCCATTCCCTCACAGCAAAATTATTTTCATTGGATCTATAGATCTCCACCATGAGAAGGATTGCCCCCTTCATATTCTATATTCCAAATTTTAATTACATTTTTATGTATTAATACAGACAAAGCTATTTAATCTTTTTGCCATCTATTTTTTAATAAATTGAAGCCTATTTAAACGTTACTATCTTTGCTAGTTTTAGATGTATTTGTCGCTTATCAAGAATTAATTAACCAATCATTTCAGACTAATTATTATTTGTGTAAGTGATTATTTAAGAATTATTTAAATTTATTATTTTTGTATTAATCCTACAACAACATATACCACATCAATTTAATTTTTATCTCTTTTTCCCATTTTGATTTGCATTGTGTTTTGAACCCAAAAGCCATCTTCTGTTTTCTGAAGTAGCAAAGCTGTTAGCTGAATTAAAATAAATAAAATTGTTGTATGCTGCTTTTTTATGGTGAAGTTAATATTTATGTTTACATGTATAAAGCTGCTACTATAAACTAATAAAGGTTGCAGTTAAAATTCAAAAGTTAATGAGTGTACATTTTTATTTGTGCCAATTATTTTTTTAACTTTTTTATGACTGCTATTCTTTCTATTCATTTTTTGGACTAAATACATCAAGTAAATATGATTTGTGAATTTTTATTATAAATGCAGCCAGAAAAAATTCACCTATAGGTTAAATTTTTTATCTTGTTTCAGTAGTTTAAAGCACCTTACCTGCACTATCAGTATTGGCCAAGTAAATCATAATCAGTGAACTCTTACAGCTTTAACCCTTCTTTTCTCAAGATAAAATAATTTCAAGGACCTTAATCTGTCCTCTATGACAGCCCCTAGCAACCTTCCTTGGAACTGTTTTCAACAATTCAATGTCCTTCTTAAAATAACAAACTCAATACTGAAAACAAATCTCCATATTAGGCCTAATCAGAGATAATCCTTGTCCTACCACTCTTAATATTAAACACAAAAAAAGTCAATATGTCAATCCTATCTATTCCATTTATAATTTTGAACACTTTAATAAGATCACCTCTAACTTTTCTCAAGAGAAAATAATGTTTAGGACCATAATCCCATGTGTGAAAGTCCTCCCATTCCAGGATTGTCCTAATTGTCCGTTTTAAAGTAAGAAGCCCAAGAATAAACCCAAATTCCAAATGAGGTCTCACCAGAGATTTTTAACTCTTGTGACTTACATTCAGCATTCCCACTGATAACAAATCACTGCTTTGAATGCTAAGAGACTAAATGACCAAAACACAAAAATAGTTTTCTTCTATAGTAATTGTATTTCAGATTAAGGTAGCCCAAATGCATTACTTTGTACTTTGCATAATGAAATGTCATCTGCTATTTATTTGCGAACTAATCTGACTATCTTTTAGAACAACAGTGGTATTATTAAAAAACAACAGTAAGTCAAACAAACTCTCAAAAGTTTTGATATTAGAGAAACTAATTTAGACACGTTCATGTTTCTTCCCGGAAGACAATGTGTGACTGAAGAGGATAAATGAACGTGTGGAAACTATTTCCTCTAATATCAATACTTCTAACAGAATGTTTCATTTAACTGTTGTTTTTTCACTAACATCTATACCCAACATTGGGTTCTTTTTATTATTATTATAACAGCAGCATTCTCACAGGCAACTAAACTCAAAACTTTAATATCAATTAGTGCTGTCTTTGAAGGTTTGTTTGCTAGCCAGGAATTTGATGATAGTTCTAAACATTTGAGGGCTCATCAGGTGGCATTAAGGTAAATATCAGATTTTTTTTTCTTGTTAACAGAAACCTATGACAGTGTTTGAACAGTAATCATACATTAAATGTCACTCACATGGAAAATTCAATCTTTTGATTTCTATAATGGGCATTACTTAAACAAATTTCATAGTATTAAAAAAAAAAAGACACCACCACCAAAGCATTATATGTAGCAGCTCCTATGCATTAGAGCAGTGTTGAAGCTTGGTGGTG